AGCGACTCACGGCAGCCCAGCTCCAGGTTGAGCTGTTGTTCAGCATCTTAGCTGTGGAGGGCAGTGTCACTGGCCCTCATATGTGGGATCCGAACCGAGGCGCTCTGGCATCCCAAGCGAGTTCTTAACCATTGCGCCACTCGGCCGGCCCCGTTTGTTTTTTGTTTTTAAAGAGTTTATTGGGGAACTGGGAGAGGGGAACAGCATTGGGGAATCATGGAAGGGGAACAGACAAGTTGCTGTCCTTTTGTTCTTCAGTCTAGTTGTGGAGGGTGTCACTTCACTGGCCCATGTTGGTATTATCATTGCGCTCTTCCTGTGTGAGGCAGTTGCTTGCCGGCCATCGGACAGCCACTCACGGTAGCTCATGGCAGCCCACTGCAGCCTACGCTGATGCTGGGGAATCACAGCAGCCCAGCTCCAGGTCGAGCTATTGTTCACCATCTTAGCTGTAGAGGGCTCATCGTCACTGGCCCACATATGGGATCCGAACCAGGGTCCTGCTGCTCAGAGCTGGCGTCCCAAGCCAACTCTTAACCAACGCGCCACTCAGTCAGCCCCCCAAAATTATGGATTGTTAGTACACATTTCTTTGATATTTGTGTCTTAGCCCTTTGGGGCTTCTGTAACAAAACACCAGAGTCTGGGAGACTGGTAAACAACAGAAATTTGTTTCTTGCAGTTCTGGAGGCTGGGAATCTGAGATGGGGTGACAATATAGCCCCGTGAGGGCTCTCACCTGGTGGAAGGGGCGAGGGAGCTCTCTGGAGCCTCTTTTATTAGTGCTCCATCTGATTTATGAGTGCTCCACTCTTATGGCTGACCACCTCTCAGAGGCCCAATTTACTAATAACCGTCACCTTTTGGAATTTAGGATTTCAACATATGGGTTGGGGGGAGGGGGGTAAAACATTCAGACCATAGCATTGTGTAAATAGACTTATTGTAAATCTGTAAGTTTCCTTCAACTTATCTCATTACACCTAATATTATCTTTTCATATACAGGCATTCCCCAATTAGATTTTGTTTTGTCATTATTTTTTACTTTTTTCTTTTCTTTCTTGTTCTTTATTTTTCCTTTGGTTGTATTTGTCCCAACTGGGTTTAAAAATTACATTTTTAAAAAGTTTTTCAGGGCCAGCCGAGTGGCGCGTTGATTAAGAGCTGACTTGGGACGCCAGCTCTGAGCAGCAGGCCTCGGTTCGGATCCTACATATGAGGGCCAGTGACACTGCCCTCTACAGCTAAGATGGTGAACGATAGCTCGACCTGGAGCTGGGCTGCTGTGATTCGCCGGCGACGGTGTAGGCTGCAGCCCCTGCTACAGTGGGTTGCCATAAGCTATCGTGAGTGGCCGGCAGCCAGCATAAGCGGCTGGCAGCTGATGTGAGCTGCCAAGAGCCGCTGTGAGTGGCCGTCAGGTGGCCGGCAGCCGATCTGCCTCAGCCAGGAAGAGCACAATGATAATACCAACATGGGCCAGTGAAGCGACGTCCTCCACAACTAGACTGAAGAACAAAAGGACAGCAACT